TCATCCGCGCCATTTTTATCCTTCCGTACCCTTCCTCTAATTCCCATGGTGTAATTTATATTTATATGAATAGTGTCATGTTGAGTTAATATATAGCTAGGTAGATTAGATATAAAGGTAGGAAGGTAGGTAAAAAAGAAGGAAGGTAGTTAGGTAACTAGGTAGGTAGATATATATAAGAGCAGGAAGGTAGTAAGCTAGACAGGTAGGTAGGTAGATATATATATATATATAAAGGTAAGAAAGAAGGTAGATATAAAAGTAGGAAATTATTTGGTAGTAAGTAGGTATGTAGGAAGAAAGGTATGTAGATATATTTAAAGGTAGGAAGGAAGGAAGGTAAGTATATATTTATTTAAATATAGGAAGGTAGGTATTTAAGTCGGTAGATAAATATAAAGGCAGGTAGGTAGGTAGGTATATATAAAGGTAGGAAGGTAGGTAAGTAGATAGATATAAAGGTAGGAAAGTTATAAAGGCAGGACAGTTGTTAGGTAGTAAGGTAGGTAGGTAGGAAGAAATATAGGTAGGATGATGAGTAAATGAAAACAAGTATTTAAGGTCCAGAAACAATGGTTTCATTGTAAACCTAGTAGATGGATACTATAGATACAAGATACTAGATACTAGATACTCAGCAACAATTAATCAAGGAGACAGGTGTAGGGAAAACAAGGACGGGGAGACCTGATAAGGACAAGGATAGTATAACGACAGGAAAAGGACAAGGAGATGATAAAGACATGATAAGGACAATGAGAGGATAAGGACAAGGACAGGTGAAAGACAAGGAAAGCATAAGAACAAGGGCAGTATAAGGACAAGGACAAGATAAGGATAAGATAATGCCAAGGACAGATAAGGACATGGACAGGATAAGGACAAGGACAGGATAAGGACAAGGACAGGATAAGGAAATGGACAGGATAAGGACAAGGACAGGACAAGGACAGGACAAGGACAGGACAAGGACAAGGACAGGATAAGGATAGGGAGAAGAGGGGAGAGTACTGAGGACAAAAAATGGGAAAGAACAAAAAAGTAATAAGAAATAAACTAGACTCTGAACGGGAAACATAAAAAAGAGAAATGAAGAAGAATAAAAGCTTGCAAAGGATTGTATTTGTAACAAAATATTACTTCAAATCGATTAATTGATTGGCTGATTGATTAATTGATTGATTGTGTGCTTGATTGATTGATTTATTGAATCTACAACTCCATGTCGACCTACCTACTGAATGCGCTAGATGCTGAGGAAGATGCTGAAGAGCATGAGGTTGAACCTGAGGAGGTGCCTGAGAGGTGAGGGCAGGTAAACCTTGTGGGAGAAGGGAGAGGGCGGGCATAACACCCAGGTTAGATAAGATGACCCGCTTTCCTAGCAGAGCAGCTGTATTAGCGGCCTGTACTACTTCCTTGGGCTGGGCTTTCTTACATATAATAATAATCAATAATAATAATAATAACCCTTACCTTCTTGTTCTTAATTGTATGAAAGTGTATCTCACACACTCTATCGACGACCTCCTCGCTCTCGAAGGTAACGAAGCCGAATCCTCTATGTCTCTTGGTCTGCTGGTCCATCAACATAACCGCCTCGTCCACCTTTCCTACACACGAGACCAGAATAGTGCATTATTCCATTTTTTAAGAGACTGTTCATACTTGTAAATTCTTATTATATATTCTTATTTTTCTAGCCTAAAATTAAATGTCAGGAAACTTAATTGTCTAGCCTAAAATTGATTATTTAAAACTGACTTACATGTTTATGCTTAAGAAACATGCAATGAAGGATATCAACAAAATTCAACACTTTTTAGATAATGGAGAAAATAGAAGATTTTGAAAAAGAAACAGGAATGAAAACATTAAAGGTTAAATTTGATAAGAAAAATAAAATTAAAGATGGGATGAAAAAAAATAAAATTAAAAGATGGGATGAAAAAAAATAAAATTAAAAGATTGGATGAGAAATATAAAATTAAAAGATGGGATGAGAAAAATAAAATGAAAAAATGGGATGAGAAAAATAAAATTAAAAGATGGGATGAGAAAAATAAAATTAAAAAATGGGATGAGAAAAATAAAATTAAAAGATGGGATGAGAAAAATAAGATTAAAAAATGGGATGAGAAAAATAAAATTAAAAGATTGGATGAGAAAAGTAAAATAAAAGGATTTGATGAGAAAAATCAGATTAACGGATTTGATGAGAAAAGTAAAATAAAAGGATTGGATGAGAAAAATCAAATTAAAAGAAGGGACGAGAAAACGGTTTCTAATTTTCTAATTATTTAGAATTAGTTAATTGGCTAGATGAATCTACACTTTTCCTTCTAAATTCCAGGGTGTCTTTAGAAACCTTTAATGATGGGGTTTAACAAATATTTCTTCAGTGGTAATCATTGAACATGGGATTTAATAACCTTGTTTAACTCCCTTATGTTTCTTAAACTTTGAAACCCCTACATGCAACTATTTCAGGAAACCTTTAAATCAATTAAATCTAGTTACTTGCAAATGCCTATTTTCAAGGAAGGTTAACCAACCTGCACTTTCTTACAATAAACTTCTTTTACTTAATCCTTCCCTCCCCCCATTAAAAAAATATTTAAAAAAGAAATCATTCTTAAAATAAAATAGGTTTTAATAAAATTCAACTGATGTGATTTATTTTAAAATTACCGTAAAATGACTAGAAATGTTAAACATTTTTTAAAAGCATTTTTTAAAAATGTTTTAAAATGTTGTGAAGTTTTTAAAAGTTTTCAAATCTACCTGAACCCCTATCTCCTTAACTTTCCATACAAACACAAACTTTGAGAGATTTTAGAAATTCTATTTATTAAACAGGAAAGAGAAGGGAGGCAGGAAGGAAGGTATGGAAATAGGAAGTGAAAAGGGGGCGGTATTGACGAAAGGGGAAGGGCGCAGAAAAATAAGAAGAAAAGATAAAAGAACACAGAATTGCACAAGAACAAATGTGAGAATTTTATATTTAAAGGTTTTTAATATAAAAAATATATATATTTACCGAACTGGTTAAAATACGCTTTAACCTCCTCGGAACTGGTTTCCTGAGACACGCCTCCGACAAATATCTTCTTTTGATCTGAACACTGGCACAAACTCTATTTTTCTAATTCCTATGCTTGGGCAACCTGATGATTTGAAATTTCAAAGAGTAACGAATTGGGGTTACAAAAATACAAAAATACAAAAATTAGAGATTAAAAAAAAAAATTGTGGAAGAAATTAAATGGGACAAAGGAATTTTCAAATCCCTATATTTTGGGAACCTGAAGGTGTAAGCCTTTAATATTTCAAACTTATATTATTTTATCTAACAGAATTCACAGTTTGAAATATATAAGGTCTATGGCATTGGATTGCCAACATATAGGAATTAGAAAATCAGAGTTTGTGGAGAAGACTCAATTCCTTTCCCGTTATTGCGCGTTAGAACGAGATCTTAAATGTTTTTAATCCTAACTCCTCTTAGTCCTCTTAGTTCTCTTAGTACTCTTAGTCCTTTTAGTCCTCGTAGTGAAGAACTATTAAGAAAAAGAAAATGTTTTAAAATTCCAAATGTGGAACCAGATAAATTTGATCTTCTCATTAAATGAGTTACGAGGTCACACAATCGTACCAGTAACGTCGCAAGAATTTAACCTTCTCCCTCTGTCTTATAGTTTAGTGTGATGAGGACTAAGTCAGTGTTGCGGAGAGTATTATTTAAATCAAAACAATATCTAACATCATACATACTGTATAGTGTATACCACTTTTTTTTGAATACCACCGTATTTTGGACGTTTTCTGATGTTTTTTCATAAAATTTATGTAAGGAAGGAACTGAAAACCTGCCTCAAACTCTAAATTATGATCCTTATATTTTTGCAATCTGACGGAGATATTTAATTAATAGATCAAAATAGTCAAATATTGAAATATCAAAGGTTTACACGGTTAGGTTGCAAGAATAAGAGATTTATAACTAGATTTTGAGGCAAGTGTTGTTTTTTATAAACATGTTTTTTTTATAAAACCCTTTTTTCCTAATCATAGGGTGAAAACTTCTAATCAAGTTATTAATTACAACCTTTAATCTAATAATATATATTGAAAGACATTATTAATTAACATCCATAATTTAATTTTGCTTGGGTTAAAAATAGAAAATTTGTGAATAGACACTGATTAAACCCTGCAATCCCCTGCTGGGCCGGGGGGTCCATATATTTATTCATCCAAGTTAGAAACAAAAATAAAGGATGAGAGAGAAATAATTGAAGAGAGGTAAGAAGAATAAATAAAATAATTAGAAAAAATGTCAGATCTACAAAAAGAACTGGTTGGTAATATGGAAATAAGAAGTTTTGATTAGTATAAGAAATCAAACAAAGCGTAATATATTCCATAGATATGCATTAAATAACACAACCCTTTAGTATTAAATGGAAAAAGGAAAACTCTACACTCATACGATAAAATGGGACCAAAAGTAAAGGATCACTGAATCTTTTTTCCTTAATATGTTCCTACTAAGTAAAGTTTAAAATTACTCTACTTAAGTCCAATTTTACTGAACTTAAACTGAGTCTGAGTAGTGGATTACACAGTCGACTCTGAAGAAAAATATCAGATATATGAGGACAAGTTTATTTTATTATATATTTCATATATTCTATATATTACTGAGCTCTGCAGATTTAATATATCTTTTCATATCATCTTTATATCCTTTACTTTATATCCTTTACTTTATATCCTTTACTTTATATCCTTTACTTTATGTTTTACATTATAACTTTGCTTTTACTTTTTACCGTTTCATTGCCCGTTGATTTTTCCTCACTAAATTACTTCTACTTTTTGTTGCCATAGCCATGTTGATTTTAGAACTATAAATCAGTAATTGGAAAAATTCTCAGAAATATTTGCGTGCAAGAGCTTACAATTATTGGATCACATGGTATTGTCATGGTTTCATCAATATCTATACTTAACTGTATATACTTTATCTATTTTATAATTTTAATAATATTTCTTTTACATTGTTAATTTACTTTTCTTTCTTATATTTTGTTAGATATGTTCAGATTGGAGATAATAATCTAGTTTTTCTATATTTCTCGGTCAAATCTACGGTTTAGTATAGAATAATCTACAATAGATCCTTCAAAAAGGAATTGAGTTTTGCCATAAACTCTGATTTCCTTAACTCTTTTTCTTTGTAACACAATGTCGTAGGCTTTTTTTAGACTTATTTCAAACTATTAATTTTTCTACAACAAATAATCCAAGTTTGAAATATCAAAGGTTTGCCCTATCAGGTTGCAAAGATATTGGGATCCGAAGATTTGAGTTTGTGGCAAAAATTCAATTTCTTTGAATAGCAAATAAATTCTCGAAAAAACGCAGATTTTTTCTAGCATTCTATATTTCATTTTTAATATTTTTGTTAGTTCTAGGATACAGCTAAGTTGTTTATAACTAGGACTGAAGGGAAGAAAAGTGATTTTCTGCTACTTCGCGAAACCTATTAAAACGCATCTACACACAAACGTCACACAAACGCTTTTAGAAAATAAACATTTTGTTCGTTGTATTGAACTTAACGAAAACAATACATCAAAATGTTCATAATTTTGAACAAAATGTTCATAATTTTGATCAAAATGTTCATAATTTTGATCAAAATGTTCATAATTTTTAACAAAATGTTCATAATTTTTAACAAAATGCACATAACTTTTAACAAAATGCTTATAACTTTTAAAAAAATGTTTCATAATTTTTAACAAAATGTTAAATTTTGAAAATGTTAAGATTTTAAAGCATGTCTTGAATAAATGTAAATAATGGACGAATTAAGGGCAGCAAATTTCTTGTAGAAGGTGCGTACTAAAGGGTGTAAAGAAAAAAACTAATCCTTAAAAAAAATATTAAGCTGCATTTTTACACTTTTTTATTTCATAAAGGGTTACATATTATTTTGTATGGTTAAGAATGAAAATCATTTTACATGTAGTTCTAAGATCTGTAATCCTCTTTTCGTGCTCACTACCTCCAGCCTCTTAGGGATGGATTCTAAACATTTTCTGCATATTTTTAGTCTTTGGTCAATCTCTCTTCAAACAGAAAATTTATTGTGGACTAATGATATTTTTCATTCTTGGTTATGACAAATAAAATTATGAATAAAATTTTCAGTGAGTTTTGAAAAACGATCATGGCATCTATCTATTATCTTCAAAACTCATGTAAACTTCTTTTTATTATAAAACATTCAAAATAATATGTGAACCTTAAAAAGAAGAATATATTTGATAAAAATATGTATTTTTCATAGTTCAACAATTATTTTTCAAAAGATGAGTTTTTTCTTAAACCTTTAATTTCTATCTATCTATCAATCCTAGTTCCCTCTCTTAGCGGCTATCTGTCTATAACCAGCTATTAATCTATCTATCTAGTAAGTTGCTATCTCTCTAACCAGGTATCTATCTATATATATATATATATAGCTGGTTGCTTGCTATATAGAAAACCAATATTATCTATACTTAGTGTAATCAATCCTTATTTCTGAACATACAGGAGGTACACGTCAAAAAAAGACACAAAAAAACTTTTTTTTGGTACCCCCTGCATATTAATACGAGGTGTCTATTGGTAAAGTGTGTTACCCGATAAAATCAATATTTTTATATATTCAGAACACTCCTTGCATCATCCTACAATAAGAAGGAAAAAATCTTTATAAAAGTAAAATCATTTTTTTAAACCAGAACCAAATCATAAATCAATTTTGAAGTAAAATAAATGCAATAAATAATATATTTTTGAAGTCATGAAAGATGAAATTTTATTTCCTGAAGCGGAGACAGCAAAAAATAGTTTTATAAATAGAGTTTTCCATCCCGGATGTACAGGATGTCCCAAGAAACATGACAGCTGGGAGTCGACTTATATTGCCGATAATTTTGAATGCAGAACAATGGCAGACCACATTTTGAAAATACCAGGACTAAGTGATTGTTTTAAGAATTATTTTATAGGACAAAGACAATCTCGAAGACATGTTTCGTAGAACATTCTTATTTATTTTTTGAAAGATAAGTAAGGCATATTTTGTTTACGCACTGCGCATGCGCAATTTTCATCATTCATCAATATCACAGAAATTTTATTTTCTAACCAATGGTGTATATTTTTTTTAATCCCCCCTCCCCCTAAAACAGACTCTGATTTAATGTATTACAGAATCGAGCTTTACTTTATTTTNAAAAATTAATAATAAGTTAGCTTTTTTCTTGTAATAAATTTAGGTTTAAAATTTAGTTTTTCAAGCTTCATTTCTGGATTTCCTTATTCTTTTAAAATTGAAATTTGGGCAAAATTTCTCCATTTCAACCGACCATAAATCTTTCCTTGGGTCATGTCACCTACTACAAAAAGTTAGGGCCCGATCGGTTCAGCCGTTTATATACACAAAAACAAACAAACAAACAAACAGACAACAGAATAAAAAGAAAGACGACAGATTCATGTAAAATGTGTAGGAGGAGGNTATATGAAGATAAAATATGATTAGACCAGTTCATTTACATACTTGGCTAGTCTAATATCAGATTAAGAGGAACAGTACAACTGAAAAAAGCTTTATGTATTTTTTATTTTTAATCTTCGATTTTTGATGCTTGTAAGAATGTGAAATATGTTTATCCTTTGTTTATAACGCTGAGAAATAAGTATTTTACAACAAGTAATTCAGATAACACTCAAACTATTTTTTCTTTTCAGAAGAACAGACATTTTCTAAATTGTTTGATAAATTCTAAAATTCTATTTNGGGGGGGGGGTAGTTTTTAACGAAAACATTATGATTAAGGAATTAATTTTATTTTTTAGAATATTTTTAATTTCGTTTTGATAGTTTTATTCAACGGAAATTTTTATAAATATTAAAATTTATATACATATATATACTAGCTTGGAACCCAGCAATGCACATTATACTCATAGTTACTCCCCGATCTTGGTCGTAAATTACAATTTTAGCTATTTAACCAATAAAAGGTGACCCACTCAACTTAGACTAATAAAAATCGGTAAATTGGTTAAGGGATTGCTGAGTTATGATCGGACAAACAAACAAACAAACAGACAAACAGAGATTACAACTTTATATGTATAGGTATATAGATATAAATATATTTCTAAGTGTGTTCAGATTCAGTTTGCATAAAATAAACAAATCCGGCAGATTTACCTAATCTTGAATATCCCCCCCCCCCTTCAAGAGAAACAATATTTTGCAACTTTCTGAAGTTTAGCCTTTAACCAGGACATATTTGCGAGGCCAGGGGGAGAAATTCGTACATTTTTACTTTTTTTCGCGAATGTCTTAAATCTTAAGGATTTGTAACATAATTAGTAACTTTCAATTGTAAACGTCATTTTTAGTGATACTGCAATTAAGGAGTGGCATGTCCGATTGTCTGATGAGATATCCTTATTTTTCTAGCTGAAAATTAAATGCCAAATTAAGTGTACAGTGTACAGTGTACACTTCACGAAAACGACGTTGTATAGCCGATTTTTAAATAAACTAGAAATTCAAGGCGCTTCGCGCCCTTCTTTCTAGGCTTTTAGAGCGCTTTGCGCCCATCTTCTATTTAAATTGTGAACATGTTCTTTTTGTTTACATTTTAAAAAAAGAAGAAAAAAAATTTGCGGATTTTCAAAAAATTAATTTTTTTTACAAAATCAAAAACCTTTAAAACACATTTTTAAAAATTTTTTATCATTCATAAACATTCACTGTGGTCATGTGATGTCCCACAAAAAAAATTGGGCCCGATCGGTTCTGCCGTTTTGACGTTTATTGGATACAAACAAACAAACAAACAGACAGACAAGCCAAATTCATATATAGATAACAATAGAATCTTCGTCATTCCTGACCAGAGAGAAATTTTTTTAGGGTACCGTTATAAATCGGACATGCCATTTTACTATTTGACGTCCGATTGAAATCAGGTGTAAAGTCCCTTAATTTGTGTGCATAGTTCATACACTGTACATTGAACTTCAAGGGGGGGGGGAACTGGTGTGTGTGAAAAAAGAGAAAAATGGAAATGTAAAAGTATTTTTGAAGACATTTTCCAGGAGCACCGTGTAGAAAATATTCCTCTAACATATCTTATGATAAATCGTGTTTAAATTTCAAAAATTCTCCAAGAGGGAATTCATAAATTTTACATTCGGAAACGTTGATGCATTTTCTTTAAATATTGTTTGATAATTTAAAAATAAGGATTTAAAAAAATAAAAATCTATTTTGGCGGTTTAGATAAATAAAATTGGACCTTATAAAACTTTTTACACAAAGAGACTTTTGTTCTTACCTGGGTTATAGGATCCTTCATGACAAGAACATCTGTAACTGGACCAAACTGACTAAAATAATCTTTCAGTTTCTCCTAAACGATTCAAGTTCAACATTTTAACACTTTGAGCAACTAGAAAAAGGATGTTCGTGGGTGATGAAATTTAGTAGATTTTCTTAAAGTGATTTTATCATTAAATATGGTGTTCTGAACACTTTAAATATGGTGTTCTGAACTAATTGAATATGGTGTTCTGAACACAATGAATATGATGTTCTGAACACGTTGTTAAATATGGAGTTCTGAACACATTAAAGATGGTGTTCTGAACACATTAAATATGGTGTTCTGAACACATTACATATGGTGTTCTGAACACATTAAAAATGTTGTTCTAAACACACTAAATATGGTGTTCTAAACACATTAAATATGGTTTTCTAAGCACATTAAATATGGTGTTATGAACACATTAAATATGGTGTTCTGAACACATTAAATATGGTGTTCTAAACACATTAAATATGGTGTTCTATCCCCTGCTCTTATACAAACACGCTTTAACCTCGCTCTTTCACCCCTGCAATCCTTAACTCCTTGAGATAATATATTTAAATGTTCCTCATAATAATCTGTAGACTTTGCTAAACTGGAGAATATACTCCCTAAACTGGAGAATATACTCCCTAAACTGGAGAATATACTCCATAAACTGGAGAATATACTCCCTTAACTGTAGAATATACTCCCTAAACTGTAGAATATACTCCCTAAACTGTAGAATATACTCCCTAAACTGGAGAATATACTCCCTAAAATGGAGAATATACTCCCTAAACTGTAGAATATACTCCCTAAACTGTAGAATATACTCCCTAAACTGGAGAATATACTCCCTAAACTGGAGAATATACTCCCTAAACTGTAGAATATACTCCCTAAACTGGAGAATATACTCCCTTAACTGTAGAATATACTCCCTAAACTGGAGAATATACTCCCTTAACTGTAGAATATACTCACTAAACTGGAGAATATACTCCCTAAACTGTAGAATATACTCCCTAAACTGTAGAATATACTCCCTAAACTGTAGAATATACTCCCTAAACTGTAGAATATACTCCCTAAACTGTAGAATATACTCCCTAAACTGTAGAATATACTCCCTAAACTGTAGAATATACCCCCTAAACTGTAGAATATGAAAAGTGTCCAGGGCACCTATGACGGTGTGACAGCTTTTAAATAATTACACCCGGCCTTGGTCACAACAAAATATTTAAGGCACTAAAAAAAACAAATTTGAAGAATGTCCTGACATAAACCTTGTATGGGTTATCTAAAATAAATATTAAAGAAAATCTTAAAATATTATTTATAAACAAAAAGATATTTTAAGGTAAATTTTTTTGTCAGAAAAATTATTTACATGTCCTCTAACCTGGTTGACGTAAAAGTAAAATAAGAAAGCTGTGTGTAATCATCTTTAGTTAAGAAAAAGTTTCTTTTTGACCGTTGTTAACAATTCACGTGATATGCGCTGGATTCAGTTTAAGATGTGCTATAATATATGAAAACAAATTTGCAAAAGAGTTTCGAGGATTTGTTAAACAGTTTCGAGACTTTTTGTATGATTTCGTAGAAAAAATAAATTTGCTCTAAAATTCAGAATTCTGGCCTCACAGGGAAACTAAAGTTTAAACCGTACAATCACTTAAATGATGAAAAAGAACTAAAAATAAACAATCATATTAATTATAAACAAACCACGTTTCTTCCCTTGTCTTCTTGTAAGGTATTCAAATAAAGAAATTCCATCTATTCTAGATACTAGGCTGATTTCCTTTTTAGATACATTACCCTTCTTACAATCCATATACTCGAAATACCGCGGGAACCAAATCCATATGCTCTGAGTACAGCGGGAACCAAATCTATATACTCGGTGTACAGCGGGAACCAAATCCATATAATCGGAGTACAGCGGGAACCAAATCCATATAATCGGAGTACAGCGGGAACCAAATCCATATACCCGGAGTACAGGGGAATCAAATCCATATACTCGGAGTACCGCGGGAATCAAATCCATATACTCGGAGTACAGCGGGAACCAAATCCATATAATCGGAGTACAGCGGGAACCAAATCCATATAATCGGAGTACAGCGGGAACCAAATCCATATACTCGGAGTACAGGGGAATCAAATCCATATACCCGGAGTACCGCGGGAACCAAATCCATATACTCGGAGTACCGCGGGAATCAAATCCATATACTCGGAGTACCGCGGGAACCAAATCCATATACTCGGGAGTACAACGGGAACCAAATCCATATACTCGGAGTACAGCGGGAACCAAATCCATATACTCGGAGTACAGCGGGAACACAATCCATATACTCGGAGTACATGTAGCATTTTCTGTTGTAATGATTAGTACGATCTTTATTATCCATGTTATCAAGACATCTTATCTATTTTCAATGTGACCCTGACCGGCCAATCCGGTCAGTTTGATTTACCTGTATATAAATAAATGAGTACTAGATGAAACGTTGTGTTATACGGACGAATACAGAGCTTTGAGTTTTGGCTAGAGATTGAGAGCCTTGAGTTTTGGCTAGAGATAGAGTCAGTGAGACTATAATTAGACTTTGAGTAGAGTAATCTCGGGACTTAGATTTATTACATACAGCGGGAACCAAATCCATATACTCGGAGTACTGCGGGAACAAAATCCATATACTTGGAGTACAGCGGGAACCAAATCCATATACTCGGAGTACAGCGGGAACCAAATCCGTGTACTCGGAGTACAGGGGAATCAAATCCTTATACTCGGAGTACAGCGAGAACCAAATCCATATACTCGGAGTACAGCGGGAATCAAATCCATATACTCGGGAGTACAGCGGGAATCAAATCCATATACTCGGGAGTACAGCGGGAATCAAATCCATATACTTGGAGTACAGCGGGAACCAAATCCATATACTCGGAGTACAGCGGGAACCATAATTTCAAATAACCGATCATTAAATGAGTGGCATGTACGATTTACATTTTAAGATTTACATTTTAAAGAGTATCGCTGTAAATTGAACATACCACAATATTAATAAAGGGTAATTTTAATTTACGCTTACAGTCCTTTTAACAATAATGATAGATTACAGTTGCGTGAAGTTTTCTTTAGTATTGCAGAGATAGATGTTTAAAGGGCACCATGGAGAATCCTTAATGGTTTTTCTAAGTGAGGGCTCATGTGAAACAATGTTTACAATTCCTCTCTAGAAGGAAAATGTAATATTCCAGTAATCTATTCATTTCTCTTGTGATCAAAGTATACTTTTCTTCCTTTACACTTCAAACACTTGACAAAAGGACAAGGGGAGGGGGGGAAATGGAGGTAAACAAAAATTTGCCATTTTTTTCCATCTTTTCTCATTGATTTTGTCGATTTTATTTTTAAAAAATATGGAAAAAACGAGAAATGTCGTTTCAATGCCATAAAGGAGTCATACGGTCTCAGAAAATAGAGGGTTTGTTAGAGGGGTTAAAACAATTGAGGTGTGAGAATATAGAGATTGAGAAAATAGAGTTGTGAGAAAATTGATGCAGAAAATAGAAGTGAGAGAAAATAGAATTGTTAGAAAATAGAGTGTAAAGTTTGAGGAGTTGAACTCTCTGCCTGATTAGTTTGCCAAGATAATCCGCCAACAAATAATTTTCCCGGCGCGCTGTCACTAGAGGGTGTTGACCTGCCGCTAGATCCCCCTTGGGATAGACTGTCAGATCCAAGATATCTAGTAATAATAATAATAATAATAATAATAATAATAATAATACCTGTTATTTGCTGTTTGTGAGATGACCTCTGGGTTAAGAAGGTGACCGGCCTGAAGACTAGCCAGGTGCTCCATGGCAACTCTAAACATAAAAGTATAATTAGTTGCATTCTGTCATACATTTAATAGATTCATACATTCATACATTCTTCCTTTCATTAAAACATTAAAACATTCATATATTCTTCCTTTCATCCTTACACCTTTTCATCCTTTCATTTTTTCACCTTTACATCTATACATCTGTACATCTGTACATCTATACACCCTTACAATGTTTCATTTCATTATTTGTACAATGGCAGGCTTTCTCTCATTTTAAACTATTCTGAAAGGGACTCACAGTCCCTTTAGAGTTCATTATATATATAAACAGAACGAAATAAACTTGAGGAGCTGTGTGTCCGGGGGTAAAAACATAATAATTTTGAGAACTGTTTACAATCAACTAACATTACATATTTTACTAAGTCATCGCCATATTGGTAAACTCCGATATTTTCAACACCGAAAATAAACACTTATATCAAACTTGTTTTTTAAAAACAACTTAAAACATCATTTTAATTACGTCCCAGTCAGCCAAATTACCTAAAGTACCCAGCATGTCACGAACAACGGTAAACTTTAAACCCTTGTAAAACATAACATGTTCAATGCACAACGGTACCCTATGAAACCTTTGTCTGATCAAGAGAATGAATGATATATTCGTATTTGTTTAGCTAACAATTGTGTTTTTTCATCAATGGCACTTTGATCGAATTAACATAACAATATCTTCCCTGTGTTACTCTGACAGAGGTTCCAAGAGCACCGTAGTGAATCAAACCATTTCCAAAACTCAATTAAAGTTACGTTTGTGCAAATTATAAAATAATTAAAAAAATATATATTTACATGAATCCGGCCATTGCTAAGGTTTGAATAAGACTGTAGGGAAGCCGGGATTTTTTTGGCTTCCTGGATTTTCATTTAGCAAATTTAACTGGTTGAACTAAACAGACCAGAAAAGTAATGATAAATGGGAATGAATGGGTATGGGAGGGATATTAATCGGAATGTATGGGGGTATGGGAAGGGTATTAATGGGAATGGATGGGGGTATGGGAGGGATATAAATGGGAATGGATGGGTAAGGGAAGGATGTAAATGGGAATGGATGGGTATGGTAGGGACATGAATGGGAATGGATGGGTATGGGAAGGATGTAAATGGGAATGAATGTGTATGGAAAGGTTGTAAATGGGAATGGATGGGTATGGGAGGGATATGAGTAAGAATGGATGGGTATGGGAAGGATTTGAATAAGAATGATGGGTATGGGAAGGATATTAATGGGAATGGTTGGTTATGGGAAGACATGAAGAAGAATAGATGGGAACTATGTAAGATAAGTAAATCTGTGAAGGATAGAACGTGAGAGTAAGATATTATTCTGGACAAACTGATTGATTATCGAGGATACCTGGAATACAGGGAGGGATAGAGGGATAGATAAATAGATAGATATATTGATAGATAATAAGGTATATAGATAGATAGATAGATATATAAATAGATGGATAAATTAAAAAATAGCTAGATAGATTGATTGATAGAAATAAATATATAGACTAATAGATAAATAGATAGAAAGATATTTAGATAATATATAGATAGAGATACATTGTTCGATAGATAAATAGAAAAATATTAATAAAAAAAAGGATAATTCTTTCTCTCACAAACTAAATTTATCAAACGTTCTAAAACGTAAGATATTCAAAAGACTTGAATTTTGCCAAGGAAATCTATAAATAATTTGATGAAGAAATTACTGAATTGTACAATATAATATAGTATATATCCCCCCCCTTGAATCATTTTAAGAGAAAAATTAATAAATGTTAACGAGTGTTAAAACGATGAAAAAAACTATAGATGTCCAATTTTTCAATTTTTATTTCCAGATCAAAAATCGGTTGTAATTCTTAAAATCATATACCACTGCTTTTAAGCATTGAATACCTTCTTAAAATGGAAATGTTTCTTTAAAGGGACTGTACACGTAGTTTAAAATGACCCTCAGTTAACAATTTACATCCCAAAATCAAAATAAAAGAAAACGACGATATCTTCCACATTGTTATTCAAATCAAAATTTAAATGTTACTTTTTAAAATTGGGTTAGATTTCTATTTTTGTGGAAAGTCTGTTTTCATGTGCGGATGAATAGATGTTAGGAGGGATTGGATATATTGACAAAAAAGATGGATTAAGAGAATACACAGAAATATACTATGCTATACACACACACACACACGGATAATTTACTAGACAGGCAATTAGAAACATTAGATAGATATATATCTATAAATAGATAGGAAATAGGTAGAAAAAAATACATATATACATAGATATAGATAGACATGTAGATAAATAGATAGATAGATAGATAGAAAGAAAAATACATAGATTTAGATAGACATAGATAGATAGATAGATAGATAGATAAATAGATATAGATAGAAAGATAAGGATAGATGGATAAAGAAAGATGGATAAAGAAAGATGGATAAAGATAGATAAAGATAGATAGATAGATAGATAAATATATATAGATAGAAAGATAAGGATAGATGGATAAAGAAAGATGGATAAAGATAGATAAAGATAGATAGATAGATAGATAGATAGATAATCAGATATAGATAGAAAGATAAGGATAGATGGATAAAGATAGATAAAGATAGATAAAGATAGATAGATAGATAGATAAATATATATAGATAGAAAGATAAGGATAGATGGATAAAGATAGATGAATAAAGATAGATAAGATAGATAAAGATATATAGATAGATAGATAGATAGATAAATATATATAGATAGATAGATAGATATATAGATAGATAGATAGATGTGTAAACTAATTACAAATATTCTAAGAACTCTACGGAAAAACTATTTTCAAATATATAACATATTCACTCATTCAGTTTTCCGTACACTTAATAAATACACCCTGCAAAGAGTCTTCGCCACAAACTCTGATTTCTAATCCCTATATCTTTGCAACCCAATGTCGTAGACCCTAGATATTTCAAACTATTTAAAACCCTTATACCTTTATACCTAAATTTGATAAGTATAGTGAATAGATTTATATTGTGGTATAGTGAGAATGTGGTAAAGTATTCTATATTATGCTCGATTGTGGTGAAGTGAGAATGTGGTAAAGTGAGAATGTGGTAAAGTGAGAATGTGGTGTTCTATATTATACTAGAATGTGGTATAGTGAAAATGTGGTATAGTATTCTATATTATACTAGAATGTGGTAAAGTGAGAATGTGGTATAGTATTCTATATTATACTAGAATGTGGTATAGTGAGAATGTGGTATAGTATTCTATATTATACTAGAATGTGGTATAGTGAGAATGCGGTATAGTATTCTATATTATACTAGAATGTGGTATAGTATTCTATATTTTACTATAATGTTGTAAAGTGAGAATGTGGTATAGTAGTATTCTATATTATACTAGAATGTGGTATAGTATTCTATATTATGCTAGAATTATAGTATTCTATATTTTACTATAATGTTGTAAAGTGAGAATGTGGTATAGTAGTATTCTATATTATACTAGAATGTGGTATAGTATTCTATATTATGCTAGAATGTGGTATAGTATTCTATATTATGCTAGAATGTGGTATAGTGGTGACATTTTGATAAATCTTCACAATGTTTGTGAGATGGAATAAACCGTACATTTATTCATCCATTTATTCATCCATTTATCCATCTTGTAAACTTATAGTTTATAAATCTCACAAATATGCTTTAAATATTATTTTTTATGTATAAAGTAATCTAAAAAATAGGGGATATTAAAACTCCCAAGCTCTAGCCCCTTAAGGTCTAGTTACAAAATTGCTAGGTTTACATTCTATAAATGTCAATTACGAGTGTCCCATGACAAGCGTTAAAATTCACTGACATTTTAGCTTTATCTGAGTGAACTTTAGTTTAACACATGGAGCGTTAGAAGAGACTTATACCTTAAANCCCCCCCCCATTGACCCACATTATCAACTTACACCTTTTTAGGATTTTGAGAAGTTTTAACAAGATAAAAATCAGCATGGTCATCATTATGCATTAATACAAATCAAATATATAACTATTAAAGGGACTGTAAGTGTATTCTTATTACAATCCAAATCCAAATTTCGGTCCTCAATCATACTCCAATCCATATCCATATATCTGTCCTTATTTATATTCCAATCCAAATCCATATTTCAGTCCTCATTTATATCCAAATCCATATTCATATTTCTGACCTTATTCCCATTCCCATCCATATACATTTTCAGATACAAAACCCTTATGCATTCCCATCCATCCATTTTCAGATACAAAACCCTTATCCATATTTTATTCCTTCTTCATATTCTGATCTCTATCCAAATTCCTTATATTTCCTCTGCCCCCTCTCTCCCCTCTATATATATCAAGGTATAGAAGATAAGCCTATAAACCTTGTTAATGAATATCACCGCCAGTTGTTTGAAGTCTAAACCTCCTTATCTCTCAACCCTATATTAAACTCAATATTACGCTAAACTAAGAAGACATTATCTCTCAACCATATATTAAACTCAATACCACGCTAAACTAAGAAGACATTATCTCTCAACCCTATATTAAACTCAATATCACGCTAAACTAAGAAGACATTATCTCTCAATCCTATATTAAACTCAATATCACGCTAAACAAAGAAGACATTATCTCTCAACCCAATATTAAACTCAATATCACGCTAAACTAAGAAGATATTATCTCTCAACCATAAACTCACTATCACGCTAAACTAAGAAGACATTATCTCTCAGCCCTATATTAAACGCAATATCACGCTAAACTAAGAAACCTGACCAGTAATTATAGCTAAATATATTCAAATATCCTTCTTTTTCCTCTTGTGTTCAAAATGCGCGTTCATCTGTATCAAATAGAGATAAATATGGATTCAAGTATAAAGGGACTGTAGACCTAATTCCATGTCAATCTCCATAGAAAGAGTAACAATATCTATACATTTCCTCTCTCTGAAAATATTCAATTTTCTATTGCGACTTCTCTCTTAGCAGTAAGGAAATTAACAGAATGACCTCTTTTCAAGAAAACCCATCTTCATCAATGCTATCAAATGTGATGTCACATAAAATTTTGGAGACTGTCCCATTAATCCCCCGGAACCTGGACATAAATGTTTCACACAACATGGTTTCTTGGCGGGGTCTGAGATGGCTCGAGATCTTAACCTGGATATATGTTATCTTAAAGGGACTGTAAGCGTAATTTCAAGTGAGGATCCGGCCTTGCGCAAAGATGGCAATACCCGATTCTGAAAAGTAACCTGGAAACCTTAATCTGATAAAATATGTGGAGATATTGTAGATTTTCTGATTCGAAAAGTGCGTATTTCTGCGAGTTTCTCAATTGCTTTTGATGAACAAGAAATGCGCTAGTCACTTTCGCAGAGAAACCGCAAATAAAAATGAACAGTTTAAAGAAACAAAATTACTAATATCTAATACATTCGTGATCGGGCAAAGCTTTTAAGGGTACCATTGTAAATCGGACATTTCCCTCTTTGCATGGAGGATAACTTGAAATTGCGCGTACAGTCCCTTTAATATGCAAAAAGACATAAAATGAATAAATGTAAAAGAAAATTTGATTTAAGAAAATGTAAATTGATGACGGTTGGATTACAGTGGATGAAGAGATGGAAGAAGGGGGGGGGGGTTTTGGATTGTATCAAGAAGATACTGAACAAAAAAAAGGAGATAAAAAAGTAATTTAATGCTTAGCAAATAATCTGGGAATTTTCCCCTCATTATATTTTCCTACTTTCGTTTTACAGAATTCTTGGAAAATTACC